GCATCTTAGTTTTTCAGAAATAGCATAAACTGCATTATCGCCCAATGTTACTATCACCCAATAATAGTGTGACCAGATCCTAACAAACCAAATGTGGGCCAAAGACTATGTTCGTATGGGACAATGTGGGATGTGTTACCAATGCTGTCAGGTAGTCTAAACGTCTAAACATTTCTATTCTGCCCCTTAGCCCAAAATTATGTTTAAGCTTTGCCAGTTATAAGTAGTTTCCCTGCATTTATTGTAGCTGCATTTCCTTTTTTTGTGCTAGTTTCTGCCTAAATCTGTGACTTTTTGGTGACTCACAGTTTCAACTGTTGGGGCGTAGCATCACAAACACGGTGACGGATTAACCAGCACTTGACCCACGTGTACGCAGTTTTATTGACAGCTCGCCCTGCTTTCTTAACAGCCATTGGATGAAAAGTTTTTTTTAGAAAAACATCCATCATGCAGTGATCTGATTTTTAAAAAGCCAATAAAAATGTGGCACATTGGGCCTCATGCAGCAACATCCTCTTGAATGTCTCGATAAAATATATCGCCTCTATTTTCTACTAAGAGAAAAAATAAGAAAAGTCAACTCCAGATGCACCAAATGTACTTCACCACGCAAATCTTCTCCTACCCAGGTGTGCTGAATGACGAATCCCATTTAATCATAAATTGAAGGTGTGTGACTGATTGTTTAATTCCCCTCTAAACACTACATAGGAGCAGGGGCTGTATGCAAACACTCACACACATGCTGAATTGGAGAGGTGACAGCAAAAGAAAAAAGCTGTGAGAATAGCAGCAGGCACTGTATGGGAACACATACACAGTAAATATACATATAACATTAGAGGGAAGTAAAATAGAAATCAAGCACACAAAATAAATACATTAAAGTAGCTTTATACAGAATATAAGCAAAAACCTCAGCATATGATAAGATATTGATATTTAAGATGTAGAAAAGAACTTCCGCAGTAGTGAGATAATAGAAACATATTATAATCTAAATGTGATTAAATTATATTCATGTGGTGTCCACTAATTTAAACCCTTTGACTTCTTGTGTTGGACAAACAATGTGTGGACTGTTAAGACAGGATGTTCTTCTTAACACTCTCGACCACTCGTACAATGTTCTCTTACCTAAGAGAAGATCAAAAAGAAGAAAACATTGGTGAATCCCAGAAATCAGTGGGTGCTAACAAAATAAGAACTAAGGAAAGGTTGGTATATTGCTTCCTGCGTCAGGGATATTGTCTCAGTATGTGGGACGTGGCACGTTGGATAAAGTGGGATGCAAAGTGGACGCCTGGTCACCGTACTCAATAACGACAGTGACTAAGTGTCCACTTTGATGGATTATCTAAGTAACAAGTTTGGAAACGGTTGACAGTAACACAAGGACACAATTATTATTAGTAGTAATTAGTAGTAAAGGGGTTAAAATAACTAGTCTAATCCATGAATGATTTAGTGTTTGAATTGCACATGCTAAAGAGCAGTAAGGATCTTTGCACTGCTTGAGAGTCTTTATTCCACGAAGCTGTCCAAAGGCATCATGTTACCCACTACTGTATCTTGTGCTGTGACTCAGAGACAAGACTTACCAACCGCCAAGTTACCTAATGCATGACCTAAGATCGCCTCCCTCCTCCTTCCTCCTCCTTCCTGGCCCCAGGCGCTACTCGGTGCTCTTGAGACACTGTAAAGGCAGTGAATTTAAAAAGGTACAATCTCCAAGTGACATTCCAGGTACCTGGAGGGCCGCGGGGGGATTTGATCACTCTGCTGGGATAGCACTTCATCTGCGCATCCGAGGCCCTTCTCCTGCTGCCTCGAAGGTGATCAGGATGTTGGTTTGTATGAAGGTCAGATGCGGTTATGTAAGATCATTGGTTAGAATGGAAAATTGAAAGCTTTCAGAGCAGTCTTTGTTATAAAGCTGAGGTCGTGAGGTGCCCACAAAGATCCATTTTGCTTTTTTCTCGGTCTCTCGCAAAAACATGACACTCATTGTGTTCCTCTATGTGTGCACTGTACAGTCCTCATGATTCAATTTCATTTAACAATCTGAGTCATCTAATATTAGCCTGTTTTTGTCATCTTCAAGTAGATAAATAGGATTGCAACTAGCGATTAATGTTCACTACTAATCAGTTACTTGTTTAGTCTGGAAAATGTCATAAAATAGTGAAAAGAGGATAACAAGACATTTTCAAATTGCTTGTTTTGGTTGCACCGACAGTCCAAAAACCCAAAGACATTCTTTTTTTAATCACATAAGGCAGCAAATCCTCACATTTGAGAAGCTGAAATTGGAAAGCATTTTCTGTGGCCAATGACTTCCACAACCAAATATCAAAATATTTGTTTAAGGACTAAGACTGCGGGACAAGGGACCACAAGACAAATAAAACAACACTTTGGTTTACGACCAAATACCTGTAAACCTCCTGACATTCCCATCAGCCTCAGCTGTATTTTGTGTTTAGTTAGCATTTAATGAGCATCTAGTTTGTTGTTGGATGTAGAGCCGTCTGGTCTGAGCCTAAAGTCGATAATCAGCGAACATCTTTGCAGCGTTTGAATGAATTCGCTGCTGCGGGTCCTTGAGGCGTTTCGGAGGATACCTTAAATTGCAGTGGCTGATTACTCAACACACATAAAAGCGCCCTCTAAAAGCAATCTCATTTGCGGTTCTAAAGCTGTTTTCAATGCTTCACTCTGATGCCTCGGTTAGGTAATACACCGGCGCTGGGAGTTATATTGGAGGTGACACCCCATCAGGCCTATAAATAGCTTTGCACTTTTCCCCCAGGAGCCCAGCTGTAGCTTTCTCCCAGGCATTTGATCACTTCTTTGTAGGCGACTGACATCACCCACTGCTGCTTTGTCTCTCTGACTCCTGCACACACACACACACACACACACACACAGACCCTCTGAGCTGTAGTAGCTTCATTACTGCTTGAATACTGTATGTGAGAAAAACTTTCATCAGCTGCTGCGATTATGATGCTTTTAAGAGGCAGTCACTTCACAGATAGTTCGCCTCAGGGTTTCCCTAAACTACATTTAATAATGACTCACCTAATCACTTTAAATGCTCAACTATCATCGCCACGAGCAAGGCAGGTCTGAGTAAAGTGAATTCTCTGAAACTGTATCGGTGCTAAATAAATAAAACAGAGCACTTAATTGAAGGGGATGGGGATTCAGGCCCAAGCCTCATAATAAGTGGGAGTATGAAGCGAGTGAAAGCGAAAAAAGATATACAAAAACCCCTGCAGGCTGCGTCTGACCCCAGTGAGTCACTGTCTACACAAGCTTCTCCAGAATTGGGCATGACTCAGTAACGAGCACAAACATTTCTGAAGAGCACTTTTGCTGCTGGTTACAGTATGTGGCTTCAGTTTGGATCGGGTACCGTTTTAATGATCAGAGTTTTATGCTATGAATTAGGACTTAATGGTTTTCAAGTTCCTGGAGTTGTTTTTGTAGTGGCAAAGCTTTTTTCTTCTAGACTTTTCTTTATTCCACAATGAGTACATGGACATAGTTACACATAACAAATGAAAGAAACATGTTCTCCTCAATACCTTGTAAGAGAGAACAAATTAAATTATACGAACATCTGTATGGGGTGCCACTTTCTTTATAAAGGGTTTAGAAGTAGTAACTAGAGGTTTTATTACTGCTTAATAAATAATTTACTAATGCTTTATAGAACAGTTATTAACAAGAACAGACTTTGGGTTGCCAGGTTGGGAAAGATCCCTTTTGGCTGATGTTTTGGTACCACACCGTTTCTATAGGGATGTTGGGATTGCGGAGAGAAAGTCTGTCTATTTAATGATTTCATAGTAAAGGCTGTACATGGTATTCATTAATTTGAAGAGCCATTATAAATTATAGCCTATTTAACAGTTATTAACGACATTTTACACCAACTTTATAACTTTTTAGCAGATTAAACAGATACAAAAGAAGACAAAACCTCTTTCCTGCCATAAGTACCTGCGGGTTAATCCCTGTAAAAAAAATCATTATAAGTTCAAAATGGAGTAATGGTTTTTATTATGTCAGATTTCATTACATGAACTGTATTAATGGTTAATAAATCCCATAAAAAAATGTATGTTGGATTCATTTCTCCAGTCTGTGTAATGTACAGTTAACTGTTTGGTAATGAGTTGTTAATATTTATAGCTGCTGACATGAGGGCTTATTAGGAAGTGAGAAATCCATGAGCATGGATTAACAACATTTATATAGTGATCATTCACAATCAGGGAACTCCAGACTTCCTACTGATACCTATACTGTATCTATAAAGCGTCAGTAAGCCTCCATCAGTCATTTATTCAAGACTGATTCACTATGATTAATGATGATATTTATTAATGTCATTGTTTAACTTTTTTAATGAAACATAAATGATGGTTGCTATGTCTGCTGCCAATATATTACTAAACGTTCAGTGTTTGATATTCAGTACAGTTTGATTTATGTAGCACCAAATCATAACAGAAGTTTCTCAGACAGACACTCTTTATAATATCTCCACAGAATCTGACATTAAAACTCTGGTTCAACTTTCTACTGGACGTCATATTTCACTAAAGTGATGCCTGCAGCCACTTTTACCACTACAGGCCTTTGTTTCATGGGAAGATGGAAAGAACTGTTCTTTCTTCGAGAGTATTAATGAGTTGCTTGATTGCCCAAGTAGATTAATAAACACTGAATGATAAAAAAGTTGTCAGTTTCGTGTCCTTCCAGTGTGGAAATTAAAGTAGAACTACAACAAAATACCATTTATACGTTTCCTCATTAGTAAATAATGTCTACTGCCTGTAATTCACACACATTTAATTCATATTGGACACATATTTAAAACAATGGCGCTCCTGTTGTATATTTCTGCATACCAGACACAACTTATGACAGCGCGCAGTGAATCTACAGTAGCCACGGGGTTATAAATAATTCATGTCAGGAAAAGGATCTATTTGCCCCCGTGCCTCTCCGTCGCGCGTGTGCACCTGGTGCCATTTGGCCACGGCAGAAGCGTCTCCAATTATCCAGGAGCACACACATCCCTGGATTTCTCTGCGCCGTGTGCCTCCAGATCCACATTGATTTTAAAGCAATGCGCGATCAATGCGGACAACACGAGAAAGTGAAGCGTGAATGCGCCATGATTGAATTGTATTTGCGCACAAGTTTGCGCACGGACACCAAACAAACAACAGGTAGAGGGGGGATCTCATCCTAGAAACACTCCAATATGTAGGGAATAATGTGGATGTTGTGACTGGGAAGGTCTCTGACTGTGTGTCTTCACGTGACAATGTGAAAAAATGATCATTCACCTCACAACAGGCGCGCTGCTGTCTCTCCCGGTCCTCCTCAGTCCCCCTTCTAGACCTGTATCTGACGAGTGGGCCGCCTGCCACACACGCCCTGCTTCACTTTCTCTCCCCTTTCGCACTCGGCGGACGTTAATGGGAAATAATCGGCAAGTTTGAGCAGAGACATGGTGGCGGCGGCCGCTCGCTTCAGCACGCTGGACAGCGCTCGTGGAAGTTGGGAGAGGACGGCGGCGCGCGGACGCACGGGGATTTAATTGGAAAAATGAACTCGGGGAGCTGCTGGAGAGATGAGCGACGGGGTGACCATGGTTGATTTTAACGGCTTATCATCGACAACAGGCGCAGGTAACCCGAGAGGGCACTTTCCGGAGTGAGACATGGACTTTGCTGAAATAATCTTCGCGTTGTTCATCGTCGTGGTCGCGGTCGTCTCGCTGCTGTCAAACTTGTTGGTGCTGCTATGTTTCGTCCACAGCACCGAGATACGCCGGCAGGTGCCCGGTGTTTTCACCATGAACTTGTCTTTCTGCAACATACTCATCACTGTTTTGAACATGCCGGCCACTCTGGTGGGGATTATCAGGGAACAGCAGCCTTTCGGGGATTGCATTTGCCACGCGGTGAGCTTTCTGGAGACTTTTCTGACCGCGAACACCATGTTGAGCATGGCAGCTCTCAGCATCGACCGGTGGATTGCGGTGGTCTTCCCGCTCAGCTACTCCACTAAAATGCGCTACAAGGACGCGCTGATCATGGTGTGCTACTCCTGGCTCCACTCCTTCACCTTCTCCCTGACCGCGCTGCTCTTCTCCTGGGTCAACTACAGCCACGTTTACGCGTCGTGCACCCTGCAGCCGAGCGAGGAGGGCAGCGACAGGATTAAGTTTACAGTCTTCACAGTCGTTTTCCACGCCACCAGTTTCATGCTCTCCCTGCTCATCCTGTGTTTCACCTACCTGAAGGTGCTGAAAGTCGCCAGGTTTCACTGCAAGAGGATTGACATTATCACCATGCAGACTCTGTTCCTGCTGGTCGACATTCACCCAAGGTAGTTTCCCCCCTAAAGCCTAACACGAGCATGTTTTCCCTCAAAGCCCTTTCAATGTATAATTCATAGTTGTTTCGAAAAAAAAAAAGACTAAAAGTGTTTTTGCTGTTTTCAGTGTGAAACAAAGGTGTTTAGCTGAGCAAAAGAGGAGAAAGCAGAGAGCCACAAAGAAGATCAGCATCTTCATCGGCTCATTCGTCATCTGCTTTGCTCCTTATGTAATTACAAGGTAAGTTGAATTGATAGGAACCCATAAATCACTGAATTTACTGCAAAACCCCTGTGACAACAACTTAAAAGATAAATGACCCCACTTGTAACAATACAGCTTGAGCAATTACCTTGTGAGTGGCCCAATAAGCTTAAAAACATAGCCTGAATATAATGAGTAAATAGTCTGCATCCAGACTCATTAGAGTTGTTGGCCTCTACAGACCCACAAAATGCAGATCTGCCACACCATTAGAGACAATTCAACAACAGAAGTGCTACATTACAGTTTGTTCTTAGCAACGGCACATTTTCACCTGCTGATTTTAATTGTTATCATTTCTCTGAAGCATGTGAAGGCTCATTAGTCACCTGTATTACTCTGTAAACAGGTGGCTTGCCATGCGGCTTCCACTAAAAACACACACACAATACAGTGCGTGACAATAGATACAGTACAGACGACAAATGAGAAAAAAGAAGATGAAACGCTTCAAGGGCCCACAAACCTGTTGTCAGCCAGACGTGGTGCTGATGATCCATCAGTTTGACATTTGTGGTGTGTGCACATATGGGTTGGAAGAGGGAAGACATTAACAAGGAAACATTGTCTGAGAAGCTGGAGTAACCTCCTGACCAGGCTTACCCACTGGAAGTAGCCTGAGTGATTGCTGAAACCAAACCATCTAATTATGATAATTCCTACTCAGGTATCCATTCTGCTTTTAAATTAGCATTTATACACATAATTTACAAAAAAGTAAAGTAAAAGTAAAAGTGTAATATTCTTTGCTCTCTGTGGTAACCTTATGCCTCAATGACATTTTTTGTTACATAACGTTACCTTAATTAGCAGAATAAAAGCAGGGTACTTTATGTACTTCATGCCTTGAGTGTGGCAGACCTTATGGTTCAGTTTTAAAAAAGGCATAACCCTCCCCATTTTCATTACAACCTTATATAAAATACATAATGTATATATATTCCCCTGCACCTCCTCTTGAAAACTAATGACAGTACTTTCCATCTAATATACTCAGGTTTAAGCTTCTCTGCTGGACAAAACTGAAATTAAATTAACCTTTGTTTTCTGTTTTGTGATTTGATTTTAATGTGACATAGAAAAAAGATGAACAATTATCCTTTTAAGTTCAGTTTTATTCCATCTTGACATAGTCAATATTAACATAAAAAAGGAAGATATATTATAATGGATGTTGTATTTCACTTAAAAACTAACATAGTACTTTTGTTCGATTTGGTTTTTATGGAGGCATTTTAAATCTTCCATACAATTTGTTTAATCCAAATAACGTAAGGTGCATGACATTTATAGCTTTAGTTGTGCAATAATTTTCACATTAGCCACATAAATGCATATGTCTGCACATTATGAAATGATGGTGAACATAGAATAGTGAGTTCTGTTTACCAAATTTTCTCCCCAGGAGCTATTAAGTGAACCGTTATTACCAACGTCAGTGACTGAATGAAGTCGACAACTTTGTGTAGTTCAAGGGAAGGCTGAAATAAAATATAAATCTGGAGTGAGAAATTTTAAAAGACCTTCCCCTGCTCTTTCAAAAATGTTCAGTCAAACCTTCCCTTCAGAAGGAAGAAAAAACACAAAACCATCTTACAATTTTGAACATTTGAAAGAGAGCTCTTTCAAAAATGTACTTTGTTTAATCGTGTTTGTGCTGACGCCCCTTCAGGTTGGCCGAGCTTCTACCTTTCGTGGACATCAACCGCCACTGGGGAATCATCAGTAAGTGCCTGACATACAGCAAGGCTGCGTCCGACCCCTTCGCCTACTCCCTCCTACGTCAGCAGTACAAGAAAGTCCTGGTTACTGTCGTCAACAGGCTGCTCCGTCGTGACCTGTACCCCTCGTCTGGCCATAACAGCTCTTTAGACACAGAGAACGACTACTGTCTCCAGAGGATCAGCTAATGGCAAACGCGCGGACATGACAGATACACACTACAAGCCAAAAATAAAGGTTGTCTCTTGGAAGAAGGTGGGCGAAGGAAATAAGTGAGGAGAGAGAAGGAGAGGACGAAGGGAAAAAAGAGAGCAGATAGAGGGGACAGACTGTGGGCGGGGGGCGAAGAGAGAGCAAAAAATAAGGAAGGTGGTGGGTGGAGAAGAATGAGAAGACAGTAGCCAGGGGGAGGACGAACGGGTGAAGGGGAAGACAGATAGGGAGCGACGGGGACGATGCGGAAGACACTGGCATCAGCGAGTATTGGTAAACAAGGGATCTGTGATTCATAGGCGATGGCAAAACACACAAAAGCACACACAGATCAGACCAATCAATTTCACAGAATATGTCACAGGTTCAGATTCATCTCAAACTGAAGGTCCACACTGCTGGAGACAGTCTTCTCTTTGAGGGACACGTATAAAGTGGCCTTTTGTACTGTACCAACCACTTTGTAATGATTCTGTCACATCCACACAGAGTGACCTTTCTACTGCCACAAAATGCAGGGACAGAGCTTGAAGCTCATGGTCGATAGGCGTTGGAGTGAAGATGTGAAAAGAAGGAAAGACTACGTTGTTCCTGCCACTGGATAATGTACCCTCAGTGTGGAGAAACAACCGCTGCACATTATCGCCATGTCCTGTATTGACCATGTTAGACTACTTTGCAGTGTCATGTCAGTCACTGAATATTGATGCACTTTGTCCAATTCTCTCAGAGCTACTATAGTTACAGGAGCCAAAGGCAAATATAATTTTCACCATGATATTAAAAGATGAGGCTGGTGATATTCTGTATGTTTGTTATTGTTAACAAGCGCCACGAAAATACCAAAATCAACAATGTGTTACTTTGTATCTCAATACTTTCTGACTCCCCCAAAGCTCATTGATTCCTGCTGAACATTTATATATTTTTAGATCTTTGTTTCCCCCATTGTTGCCTTTATTTTAGGGTGACAATAGAAATACAGACAGTTAATGAATCCCCAAATATATGAATCTTAAAACATGGGTCATCAATATATACTTAAAAGGTTTCATAATTCACATTCTGGGCTCTGTCTAGCTACTGAAACTGGAGAAAATAGTGCATTATGTTGGGACTGTTTTCAGATGCATAATACACATTTAGTGCACTGGTGAGTATTTATGGCAGCAGTACAGGAAATGTTTGTTTTAAAGTAAACTACAATGCAACAGTGTGGCTCATTGATGCATTTTTTAATAGTTTTTGGACAACTGAAAAACAAAGACCAGCCCACGTAAGTAAGAAAATTAGTTTATTTGAATGCCAGGTGTAGTGTTAGTCTGCAAAGCATCTTAGATTTGACTCTAGTTTCATTTAATTAAATCCAACTCTCTTGTGAATTAAACCAGCGTATTCACAAGTCCAGGAGGCATGGATGATGTGATTGAGAGTTTATTTGAGGATTGCGATCAGTGGCTACACGGACAGGAAGGAAGATTAAATAATTTTTTGGTTTTTTTCATGAGATTTGTTGACAATAAGAAAAACAGACCACCTGATTTCTCCTTTTAAAGTGTGAGTTTGTAACTGAATGTACTAGAGTTAGCCCACTTTTGACTGAAATGCATTTGTACAACTGTGCTTTGTTTTGCCAGTTGACTGGAGAAAATGTTTCTATGGATATTTACATGATGTTATTATATATTTTGCACTGTACAGGAACAACTTTTTGTCTAGATAAAGGGGGAGCAATGTGATGTAGCATAGGAAGGTTTCAAAGTGCTTTAAACACACCGTTTTGTGTTTGTGCCAGATTTGAATATGTGACTTTTTTCAGCTGTTCACTACTTTAACCAGAATAGCTGCTTTATTATTAAAATCTGTTTCTCTGGATGTACTTTATGCACATGTATTTTTCCTCCTGTGTGCCACTTGCTGTTCTTTGGCAGTGTGATTAGCTATTAGTGGAATCTGTGCAATAAAAGCTGTCAATTACAAAGCTATTAAAAAATATTAATGTTTTCACAGTAACGTCATTGAATCTAGATAATGCCCTTCGATTTAATTTGTAAGTTTGTAAATTGAATTCAGGCAATAGAGTTACAGGCCTTGGACACTAAATGGCAAATAGGACTTTTATTCTATTATTCAAATGATAGATGAGGATATACTTGAAATAAAACTCTTCCAGTCTGTCGTTCACACCAACTACACACCTGTTTCTGCATCACATTGTTTTGCTATCATCTGCCTTGTGGCCCTAATTATATCCTAGATGATATACGGCATAAAAAATGACTGTGGTGTCACACGAGTAATCTCTATTGCAGCAGCATTATTGCCAAGAGTAATTATAGAGACGAGTCAAAGATCAGTTTTGTAGATTAGTGATTCTGATTTATTCTGACTCAGTAATCACTCAGGCTTAATTTGATGCATGGAAACAGACCAGCAGTAATTATTTGCAGCATTAAGTGAAGGTATCACCTTTTTTTTTACTAACTCAACGACCCGCACCTCTGAATTCAAGTAGTTCATGCTAAAAACAGCTCAAGGTTGTACCAAAGCCAGGGCTTGGCTTTATTAAGACACCGGCTAATTAACCCCAATCATCCAAAAGCGATAAAGGAGAAACCAGTGATTAAAACTTCTCAAATGGAAAATGTATGCATAGTAAAATATGTGCTGCTCAAGTATAAAAGGACAACAACTGAGTCCGTTGAGTGAGTTTAAAGAGTATCAACCAACGCCTGAAACCATGTTTTCTATATGACTCTTCTGACATAGTATATAGTATATAGTTTCAGTATAAACTTAAATGATTAAGCCTAGAGACAATTTAAGGACAGTTTGACTCTCAGTCTGCAGGTGGTCCTGTATCAGTGGTAAACACCTCAACCCCCTCAGACACAATGAAACAGTGATTAGATTACATTTGTTCATTAGGTTACTGTAAGCCTATGTTAAAAAAAACTCTACAGAGACAGAATGACAGACATTAGCTAAAACATGATGCTCCAGGTGTTACAAAAAACAGAATGAAGGACTTTCGGAGCCAGATGTCTCGTAGATGATGATGAAACAAGACTAAGAGTCTACATCCATGCTAACATATTCTCACAGTTGTCGGACAGCTAAACAATGGGCTGAAACTCAATATGAAGCTGAGGTGAGCATCAGATTCAGGTGATAATACAAACAATCCTTTTCATGTGTGGTATTGTTTTCACATTGTCCTTAGAAACATTATTATTATAACAATATTGATTTTGGAGGATCTATTGGCAGAAATGGGATGTAATATTCATAGGTATGTTTTCATTAGTGTATAATCACCTGAACACATTTAATTTTCTTTACCTTAGAATGAGCCATTTTTATCTACAAACGCAGCGTATTCCATGGAGGCCACCATGTAGAACTACATTACAATATGGGACAAATCAAATACTGGCTCTAGAAAGGGCTGTTTGATAGATTCTCCAAGGAAAGGGGAGGGTGTAGCGTGGGAGTTGCAATCGGCAACTACACAAAGTCAGTAGGTTTCAACCTCTGGGGACTATGAATGTCTGAAATTTGGGATCCAATAGTAACGTGGTGGACTATCCCTGCAGAAACACAGCTACTGTAGCATTCCCAGTTTCCTTACCTACACAGACTGAATGATTTCATCCTGTAGTTTCAGCCTCTTTCCTCAAACTCTTTTTTTGCTGCTAATATAACATATTCAACCAATTTTAAACCTGTGTTTGTCCATCACAATCAGAGGTGTAGTGTGGGGTAAACCCAGGGAAACTCAGTTTATCCACCTCTTTGAAATGAGGCTGATAGTTTACTCCTCTATTCTCAGATCAACTGTATCAATCAATGAGTGGAAACACCTACCCACCACTATATATATGCACCCCTGATCACAATCAGTTGTAGATGGTTAGAAACTAAAAAAGAGTCATTGAGTCTTCTCTATTAGACTTATTTTTTTCTTAAAGATTTATCTTATCATTAATTTTCTTTGTTTGACCTATTTTTATTACAGGAACCTGTATCAGTTTATGCAGAGTGACCACTCTGTAAGTATTTCTCTACACATATTTCTAATAGGATGTCATCTCTCCCAGAGGGCTTCATGTCCATTCACTTAGTTTCTGGGCCACACAATAATCTGCATTATTCATATTCCTGATTTAGCTGAAAGATACAGTAGTATTTCTACGTTACTCTTGCTCAAACTACCATCAACTCACTCCACTCATTAAAAGCCAGAGGGCCGAGCTTGCTCTCAAGATCCTCTATCCAGTCTTGAACCCAGGGGTCCTGCGGCTGCCTGCCTGCATGATGAATAATCATGCTTCCCATTATGCTAATTCAGATCAGCTCAGCATGAAGGAGAGAAGACCCTATAATTAGCTGAATGAGTAAAATAAGCTCACTTAGAAAATGAAGGTAGTCATGACAAAATGTTCTGTATGTGATATTTTATGAGGATTTTTTAAATGCATCTTTTGAACAAGAAATCAGGTCAGATGGCAATCATCAATCTTAAATTAACTCTCCTCTTTAGACAATCAAAGGTCTTGTTCCATCTCATTAACATTTTGGGAGTCATTTTGAGAATCATTGTTCCATTATGGAGAATTTTCAGGCTTAAATGTCATGTTTGCTTGATTGCCATGTGTCTTCTATCACAGCCAGTGGGGATGGCTGCAGCTCCAAACCTCTCAGCTGCACTCAAGCTTCCTCCCATATTCTGGCTCTAAGAGGGAGTTAAATGGTACAGCTTGACCCAAAATAATCCAGAATTAATCATCAAAAATGTTCAAAAACCAGAGGGTGATATGTGATATTTTTGTCAGTGGTACAAATATAAAGCCAGTGGTCTACGTTCAGCATACTTGCTCTGTGCACCATGTGCACCTGGGTTAGGGTTAGCCTAAAAAATGCAAAAAACAACCCACACCACAGTTGTATTTTATCCCAAATGTTTCCAACAATGTTCAAACCCAGAGATGTCTGTAATTTTATTCAGATTATGCTGTCATTGACATTATGTACATTTACTGTGATGTGATAAATAAAGAAATAATGTGATAAAGAAAAATGGGTGCTGTATGCATTTGCAGCTGCTTTGGTTAAACCTAAATGAACTTAGATTAGCTTTAAAAACAATTAAGTTCCATCTCTGCTGATAAAAGTAGATAGATAGAGAGATATACTTTGATTCTCTGATACGTGAAACATTTTGAAGTACTCCAATCATGTGAACTCATTTTACATAGAACACATAATTCATAAATTGGTTGATTTTAACGCTCATATACTGACAGTATGTATTATTCTCATAGTTAGAGTAAGTAAAGAGAAAGTTCAAATGCAAATAATTGCTAATATCGCTAATGTTGAGAATAATGATTGGCACCTTTAATGTCAAGGTGCCAATCGTTATACCTCTACCAATTAAGGACCTGAAAACCTATTGGTCAATCCATGTCAGGTGACTGAAGAAGGCAACGTGAGGGGGACGCTTGCACTTTAATTAATCTGAACCCAGAGTCAAAACCCGCCCGGATCATGAAGGCAACAACTAAACAAAAGTTGGAGGGTGGAAGCAGCACAAGCCCGCCTCATCAATTTACCTTAAATCTCAGTGAATGAGCGCCATATTTCCCCAACATCTTACTTGCACATTTCCATGCACATGTCCCCAGTTCACCTCAGAGCCATTTCCTCTGTAACTTGATATTTGACCGTAATACGTCTAATAAGGTCGCTCTGAGGGAAGTTGAGAGGAAATTTCTGCAGACTTGTGCAGATTGGCACACACACATACACACACACACACACACACACACCCACTGGCTGCGTGTGTGAGGTGCCACATCGAAACGAAATATAAACCGCGGAAAATGCGCATCATGCTGCCGATCCTGCTACAGTTGTTGGTCCTTGTGTCCGGTTCTCCTCCACGATGCGACCCAGGATTCCGAGGTAAAGTTGTTCAGCTTTGTGTGAATACATACTTAATTATTATATGCGCACCCGGACCTGCTGCTTGTGTTGTATGGCTTATTTCCATGTGCAGGCTGAGTTTCTAGAACCAGAAACTCACTTTTATGCACTAAAACTAGTGAAAAATGCTCGTATGCAACTTTTAGAAAGCCACAAAATGTTTGTGAATATGATTAGATGTTGGCCTGTAGCTTGTGAAATGGTATTAATATCCCAGATGAAAGCATGCTTTTTTAAACTTTGTGATTAAGATTTATAACCCTGTATAAAAATGTGGACCCTCTCATCACTTATTGATACTAGACAGACAGACATTTCAGAAAGCTGCTGAAGCAAAACCAGAGGTTGAAAGCAGAGTATTTTGTAGGCCACATTGAGGCATTTCCAGAAACCACTCTGCCATCTAGTGTCTGCCACAGTGTCAGCTAATGACATACTGATGTGTCTTGCAGGACTGTGCAAGCCAACAGTGGAAGAAAAACGTAAGTACCCTTGGGCACGCAGGAAGAGCTGCGTCCTGCATGAGCTGTTTGTCATCCAGCATGTTGTAGCAGCTGATCACCTCACTGGACCTTTAACTCATAATTTGGGGCTTTTTTTTTTTTTGCTCTTAAACCCAGCGATTATTCTCACCAGAGAAAGATGGGGCTCTACACCTCCCAGGCGTGTCGAGTGTTTGTATAGTTACTGTATATCCCCGTAGATTTGATTTGAGTCAGTGTTTTTAAAAACAAGAAGAATGAGATCATAAGTCACTGGGTGTAGGCTTAATGGAATCAGGCCCGAAAGCTGTAAGACCATCATGTGTATTTTTAGATGATCAATGGCACTATGAAATATTCAAATTCTAATTTCCAGAGATAATAGAAATATTTGGGGCTCGGTGATTGAAGACAGCACAGTGAGGCTCATGATTAAGTGTGTGACACATGTCTCGAAATAAGATAAGATGGATAAAGTTAGATTAGTAGTGGCTGTTACTGCTCCATTCTGTTTTCTGCACTTTTTCATCTTTTCTGCTGATCAATCTGAGCAATCTTTTCATTTTAATATGTTCCTAACCTTCTTTTGTCTCAGCCAAATGCACAGACTTGTTCCTGTCCTACTGCGATGACATGTCCTACACTCAGACCATGTTCCCAAACATCCTCGGCCACAAGACCCGTGAGGACGCCGAGGCTGGGGCTGAGTACCTCCTCCTAAGCGTGGTTGAGTCCCTGCTCAGGGGAGAGTGCAGCCCTGAGATCCGCATGCTGGGCTGCTCCGTGTTGGCGCCGCGCTGCGAGATGGCGAAGGTGCTGAAGCCCTGTCGCACCACCTGTGAGATGGTGCGTAAAAGATGCAGCCACGCTTTCGATGGCATAAACATGGCTTGGCCCTACTTCCTGGACTGTGATCGCTTCTTTGTCAGTGACCAAGAGGGATGTTATGACCCGCTGGAGGGCCTCAGAGGTGAGGACCATCATTAGCACTGTGACCTTAGGGGCCCCAAATCTGGGATTTGTTGAGCCATACATTACCAGCAATTTTATTCACACTGGAACAAGTTGCCTTAAATTTTTTAATGAATTATACAGACAAATTTTCACTTTTGTCCGCAATTTCATTGCATTCCAAGTTTTTAGAAAAGATGTCGTGGAATCAGAGATTTCGAGACTTACAGTGTGAATGTAGCCTTTGTGGACAGACCTGAGCTTAGTTTTGGCTACAACTAATCATATCCTTGCTGTTATTTTAAATATTAGTTTTTACCTGACAAACACAAGTATAGTCCTTTGTGTTTCAATAGAGCATTTTCCCTAAACACGTTTTCAGCAGGCATCTGGTTTGCACACATGCTCATGTGGCTCACCTCAAAATAAAGTCCAACTGGAACGCCTTATTTCCCCACATAAACCCTCACTTACGCTGCGTCCTGTGGCTACTTTCACGTGTTTTCATTAGCAGCCTCTCTTTATAGAGAGTGCCTTAATGCACCACAGAAAGGCAAACACTGTCTGATGCTATTCTCTAAAAAATGCTGTAAATTCATGAAGTCAAAAACAGGTTTCAGGTTTCTACAGATAAAAAAAGATACTCTGATGTGCCACTCAGAAATCATGTGTGAGCCATATGAGAGCATGAACAGCAGGAACTGATTTGAGCATTTAGTTGTCTCATTTTAGCATTTGTGTACAGTAAAATGTGTAAATGGTCAAAAGTCTTAAAGTCAACCAATGAAACTCCACTGATCTGTGCTATACTACAGTGTCTTGCTTTTTATTGCTGTGCAAAACATTTTCTGTCAATAAGAATTGGGTTCAGATGTCTGGCAGCAGGTCGGAACCGTGTAATTATTCCCATATTCAAATGAATTTCAACCTGATGTCGTTGTTCCTGTTTTGATATCGTGTGACCTCAAGCTCTTCATACAGTAATTGCCACAGCTATAACGTAAGTACATATGTAGTAAAAGAGATGTGAGTGGGTGCAATGTCTTGCCTCCCTTTATGTAATTTGGGAAGACACGAACACAACATGGCTGTTACACCAGGGGGCAGTTTAAAATACTGGTCTCACACCGTATAGCAGCATTAAATGTCAAGCTGTTAGAAACAATCAGTCCAAGTCATTTTAAAGTGCATGAAATGTTTGCAGATTTTTTGTCATGATAATAATTAGATGTTTAACAAAACTAGCATTTTAAACCGGTCACTGTGGGTTTCCGGGATATTGTGAGGGGCATTTTTCCATTTTCTAACATTTTATAGACCAAAATAATTGTTAGATTATTCAGTAATGGAAATAATCCCTGAATTGGTTATTGATGAAACTTGCTCGAGTTCTTTTGTTAGTTTGTGCTGATGTAATTTGGGTTTTGAATTATTTTTTTTTAATATTGATCCTCCTAAATGTCACACACTGTGCCTTTAGACCTGCACTTATCAATATTTTTACGTTGACAATATATACAATTATTATTATGTGTAATGTGAAAGGGGTCGCTCGTATTGAAAAACCCACAGAGAATTATCAATCGACTCTGCTGTTCTCCTCTTTACTGAGCATTTTAGCTCTTTAAGCTAATTGTTTTGGTTTTATGGCATTCAGCTTTAGTGTTTTGGTTCAGTCTCTCAACCAACTTTGTTTCCAGCAGAAGCTGTTCTCAGCAGAAAAAACTCTGATATACCAGCTGTATCATCCTAGCACAGAATGACTGACAAAGTTAGTGACTAGCTGTATATGTTCATCAGCTTCTCATTAACTTTATAGCATTTAGCAGCTAAAGAGCCAGATATTCCTCTCAGGAGCTGATGGAGATAAAAACAACTGAAAGGAGAGTAAAACATACAAAAATCCTAATATTATCTTTATTTCTACTTAATGTATAAATAGGCAACTGTTTGCAAACACATCCACCATATCAACTATATGAGGTGATACTGTGTTTTGTTTACAGCTTATTCTGCTACCCCCAAGTGGCCAAATAAATCCATTAATGCTACTTTAACATGTTTTTCTATAAATAAAGAGTGAAGTGGTGTATGTTTGTGCCCCCATATGTTAGAGTTAATCCTGTTCAATGGGAACGGGTCAGTAATACACGCAGGCTCTTGTTAAGAAGAAGAAGAATATGGAACCTGTAACAGCAGCGTTACACGGTAAAAACCATTAATTTAAACCAGTAGTGAAAGTTTTGACAGATACAGTCTTCTAGGTCATTTGAATCTTGCAGCACGAAGGTTTAATGTGTTCCATGTGGTTTGGGGGCTATTATTGGTCTCTGTAAGTGTGAATACAAAAATAAGGGCAGACCTCAGCTGGTTTAGCAGTTTAATGTGTCAGCTGAAATAAGCACATTCGGCTCATCAGGCATTTTGTGTTACATCAGCTTTCCTCACCCTCTTTTTAGTTTCTGCTGTACATACCAGACAACTATTTATAGCCTGGCAGATCTACAAGAATGGAGACAGCTTTTTTTATGGTTCAATAGATCAAAAATGTGTCACTGTTTGATCTAAAAGCACATTGATCAAATGCGATAAGACATGCTGTGTTTTTCTTTACAGCAGAGCAGGATGTAGAGGCCGTTGACAGCATGGAAATCCCTCCTCCTGAGGATTCTGCCACCACGATGCAGTTCAGCTACCACTCCAACGCTCAGATGAACAGTGTCTTGAAGAAAGTTGAAGATCGATGCCCCGACATAGCAAGAACCTACAGCATCGGCCGCAGTATGGAGGGCAGGGAGCTGCTCGTGATTGAGTTCTCAAACAACCCTGGTGAACATGAACTGCGTAAGTAAAGCTTGTAAAGGTCTGTGTAATTGGCCTGCATCCTTTTTCATTATCAACAAAGTTAGACTAGTCACTGTTATTGTAACCCTCTGTAGTCGAGCCCGAGATAAAGTACATCGGCAACATGCATGGAAATGAGGTCTTGGGCCGGCAGCTGCTGATCTACCTGGCTCAGTACCTGTGCTCGGAGTATCTGCTGGGGACCGAGCGCATCCAGACCCTTATCAACACCACCCGCATCCATATTCTGCCCTCCATGAACCCTGACGGATACGAGTTGGCTATTACTGGAGTTCAGGACAATAACTACGGTGATGAGGAGGAGGAGGTCAGTTCTCCACCGTCATCGCTGTGCAGTTTGAGTCATATTTGTTTTGTATTTAGAAAACCGACCAACCACCCTAATAATCCATTAAGTGTTACAGTGAAACATAGCAGAGCTTGTAAGATATTTAAAAACCTTGTAGCATGAGTGCAGACCATTTTCAAGATAGAAAACATGCATTCACACACATTACAGCATCTATTGCACTCTGCTTTGAGAAAATTCATCAATAGTTTTGAGATTCAAAGCAAAAATGCCAAACGAGCTGTTTCCAGGTTCTTAAATGTGAGGTAATTTAAACATTATTGGGTTTTGGACCGTTAGTTGGACAATAAACAACAATAATTTAGACATTACCTTGTGGTCTTATATCTCATGGTGAACATACATTTTAGATTAATCAATAATGAAAATAACAACTAGTTATAACCAAGTGTGAACCTATCGTGATGTTACCCATTGGTTTGTGGATTACCGTTTCGAAGCCTCAAATGTAGCATTGTGGTCGTTGCCATGACAGTTAGACGGAGCCAGCGGACTGAGAATGACTTGTCAATCACAAGGTAGCCACGCCCTAAAGCAATAAATACTTTGTCTATTTCACTCTAAATTGGACCATAATTTACTAAATGAACATCATAATGAATGGAAGAAGACTTAAAACTTAAAACATGTTGGGAAACTGTTTACTGAGCTAATAAATCAAATGAGAAGTCGGCTCATTCTCCATTAGAGTGCATGGTGTCGTTTTTAATTGCAGCCAATGGAGCTGCTGGCCTTTACATAGAATGTAGGTTTAAGATACTTCCACATTGGCTTCACTTTTCAGACCTGGAAGCTCTGTCCATTATATTTACTGTCAGTGGCTATAGCCCTAATCAGCTAAAACACAAGTAAAGAAAAGTGTAAAACACACTTGTCTCAATATATATATATATATACACACTCTCCTCCAAAAGTATTGGAACAGTGAGACCAATTCTTTTATTTTTGCTGTAGACTGAAAACATTTGGGTTTGACATCAAAAGATGAACATGAGACAAGAGATCAACATTTCAGCTTTTATTTCCAGGTATTTATATCTGGATCTGATACACACCTTTAGAAGACAGCATTATTTGTTAAGCAACACCACTTTTTTAGGTGAGCAAAAGTATTGGAACAGATAGACTTAAAATACATTAAAGTGAATAAGACTTAATATTTAGTTGCAAATCCTTTGCTTGAAATAACTGCATCAAGCCTGTGACCCACTGACATCACCAAACTTTTGCATTCTTCTTTTGTGATGCTTTCCCAGGCTTTCACTGCAGCCTCTTTCAGTTGTTGTTGGTTTTTTGGGGGGTTACTCCTTTCAGTCTCCTCTTTAGCAGGTAAAATGCTCTATAGGGTTTAGGTCTGGAGATTGATAGTCCCAGAATCTTTGAGGCTTGTCTCTGTAATTCCAGCCTGGCCTTCATATTCTTGGTGTGGTTTGCATCTTCTTGTGTAGCCTCTGTACTTTTGTTCATGAAGTCTTCTGTGAACAGTAGATTGTGATACCTTCACTCCTGCCCTCTGGAGGTTGTTGCTGATGTCACAAACAGTTGTTTTAAGGTCTTTTTTTTTTTTTTTTTTTTTTACAGCTCTCACAATGTTTCTGTCATCAACTGCGGCTGTTTTCCTTGGTCTACCCATTCGATGTCTGTTACTTAGTACACCAGTGGTTTCTTTCTTCTTCAGGACATTCCAAATGGTTGCACTGGCTATGGCCAATGATTGTGCAATGGCTCTTCTCTCAGCTTCACAATTGCTTGTTTTTTTACCCATAGACAGGTCTCTGGTTTTCATGTCAGTTACACCTCTAACTATAAATGCACAGGCAAAACCCAAATCTGAAACTGAGCATAGACATTCAGCGCTATTTATTGTTTGAGTAATCAATGTAATAGGAAACACCTGGGAAACAAAACACCCCTGTCAATCACATGTTCCAATACTTTTGCTCACATGAAAAATGCATGGGTTCAAACATGCTAGTTGTGTGTCAGATACAGTAAATACCAGAAATCAAAGCTGAAATGTTGATCTCTTGTCTCATGTTCATCTTTTGATGTCAAACCCAAATGTTTTCAGTATACAGCAAAAATAAAAGTATTGGCCTCACTGTTCCAATACTTTTGGAGGGGAGTGAATATAACAGTGAGACGAGTGTATGTATGTATGTATGTATATATATGATATATGTATATATATATATATATATATATATATATATATATATATATATATATATATATATATATATATATATATATATATATATATGTATATATATATGTATATATATATATATGTATATATATATATACATATATATGTATATATATATATATATATATATATATATATATATAAATATATATATATATATATATATATAATATATGATCCACGCGCACATTGCCATCCAGTAAAGTAGGTAAAATAAGTCAAGGGAGCTGACAAGGACAAAAGGTAAATAAAGGCAAAAATGTCAATATTTAGATCTTACAATGATGATAAATAGATCACAATAGAGCAAAAACATCTGTATAACAACCCCAAACCATCCAGCAGTTGAGGAATAAAATACAACAAAACATCAGGTCTATAAGGAGAAAGGACCACTATCTATAATGTATAAAAGTTAATTTAATTTCAGTTAATTTTTATTTGTATGGCGCCAGTTCATAACAAAAGTTATCTCAGGACACTTCACTTCAAATAGGGCAGGTCTAGAACCATGAATATTAGATCTGGGCATTATGACACAGGCATACAAACAACACGCCTGTTTGTGTAAAACACATGTAACATTGATTTATGATAAATGTGGTCATACGCCTAGTCGTTAAAATCATTAATACTTAGCTGTAAAATAAGTGTCATTGTCTAATTTTCTAGTTTGTGAATTCTGCAGGGTCACCGATATGACTCTCAAAACATCGGCCGAAACAACGCTCAGAACATCGACCTGAACAGAAACTTTCCCGATTTAACGTCTGTTGTTTACGCCAGACGCAGACAAAAGGGTTACCGCACCGACCACATCCCAATCCCAGACTATTACTGGTTTGGTAAGGTACAGTATGAATCTTTATCCATATATGTCATGTCAGTGAATAATATTTTATAGCCTAATAAACTTGTTTCATTTCTTGGTCCGAATAAGTCTTAATGCTGCAATACAGGTTGCACCGGAGACTTACGCTGTCATGAAATGGATCCGCTCCATCCCGTTCGTGCTCTCTGCTAACTTCCACGGCGGAGACCTGGTGGTGTCCTACCCCTACGATCTGTCCAAACACCCGCTGGAGCGCAACATGTTCTCCCCAACACCTGACGATCAGGTGAACGGGCTCCTTGAAACACTTCAATCACCTGATTGGAAGTCTCTCTCTTCACAAGTCAAAAGTGAACTGAACTGACAAACTAAAAGAAGAAAAAGATGACTTAACTTTGTCTTTAAAATCTTTTGTGAATAATAGCTACAGACAATAACTAAAATAGCATGAAAGTGGATATATTATATATATTATGACCTATAAAACGTATTTATTATGAATTAATGTACTGGTATGTCACAGTGAGTATGGAAATAACTGGTTAGGATTTGTACAGTCATTTACTTTCCCTGCGTCCTAATTTTGGACATATTTAAAAACTTAATGTAAATGTTTATCTTCACATATGTAATGAACTTAAGGAAGAGAAACATAACCCTCAGGTTTTTATTTCGTAGGTATTCAAGTTTCTTTCAAGGACATATGCAACTACTCATGAAAGAATGTCCAATGAAAACGCCCGCTGTGGATCGTCTCACTCCATCAGTCAGAAAGGAATCGTTAATGGAGCGCAGTGGTCCAGCATAGCAGGCAGTGAGTTGGAAAAGTGAACATTATTCCTCAGTAATAGTTTCACGGTGTTTATTTCTGGATCAGTCTGAAAGTGTTTAGTGGGGCCACTAGAGGGCGCTGTATGACCAGAAGCAGTGAGGAGGAAACCTCTGAGATGGTGTAGGGGAAAGGTCAGCACAGCTTCTCATGGATTTCTGGGTGAAGCAGTTTTTGTTTGTGTCCCCGGTCAGGCATGCAGGACTTCAACTATCTTCACACCAACTGTTTTGAGGTGACTGTGGAGCTGGGTTGTGATAAATTCCCCCCCGAAGAGGATTTGTTTATCGCCTGGCATGAAAACCAAGAGGCTTTAACCACATTTATGGAGACAGTAAGAACATGATAATGCTTTGTTGTTTTTATTGATATCATGGTGTTTGGCTCTGGGATGCATCAATCAGATGTTTCTTAACTACAGTGTAAGTGGAGGCTATGAGTTACATAAATACATCCACTGTATCAAGTCGGTGCATCCCTATTTTGACTGCATGCTCTGTAGTGGTTGACGACTAATCCTCTGTCATTATTTAAGTACATTTAGAGTTGGTATTAGATGAGAAGTTTGTTTTTCTGTCTGTTCTTAGTGAGCACCTTGTTTTGCGTTGTTCCTCAGGCCCATCGAGGTATCAAAGGCATCGTAAAAGACGAGGAGGGAAATGCAATCAAAGGTGCGCGGATATCAGTCAGAGGAATACGGCATGATGTCACCACAGGTAATAAATATAAGCTGCTAACAAGATGCAATTATTCTATTAGATTAGCCAAAAATATGACTTTAGTTTGTTTCCTAGTCCATTTTTCCAAGTTCTTGTGTTCATAATGGCAAAGTTTGTCCAGCCATTTAACATCACGTCCATAAAGTAGGGATCTTGCGAGAGATTAAGTATAAGACAATGGTCAAAATCAATGTAGCAAAGGCTGAAATGTCCTGACAACCAAACAAAGATTCCTCACTTCAACCAAATTTACCATTTAAAATCAATGCACAGTATTTGTAACCCTCACATGACCAACATGTCACCATTCACCCTGTATGATATGAATGCTGCATTAGACCCTACCTGAATTCACAAATTCCACACCGGTGTTTTATTTATTTATTTTATCTAAATCCAAATAGTCTTTTTTAATTAAAGCCTATTACTGAGTCGACAATGTGGCCATAGCAGATCATTAAATTGAAATGATGTGTTAATTTCCATTTCTTTATGTGTTTTTAACATTAATCTAAATTAATGTGTTAAATTTGACGGCATTTCACTTCAAACTGGGGGGCAAGTCATTTTTTTAGGGCAGCTGCCACCCCAATCTACCCCTCTAGATCAGCCCCTGATAACGCAGGCTTTCCCCCGTGATGAGTAAACAGATTTTCATGTGTGAAATTTGTGTAGTGCTCCTTCAAAAAACTCATGTACGCATGTAAATTATGACTCTAAACACTTCTCCCTCCACTCTCGTCTCCTTCTCCCCACCCAGCTGAAAACGGAGACTACTGGCGCCTCCTCACTCCTGGAATCCACATTGTGACCGCCTCAGCCCCTGGCTACACCAGAGCTTTGAAGAAAGTCCACCTGCCCCCTCGCATGCATACAGCCGGCCGGGTGGACTTTGTGCTGCAGAAAGCTGCAGAAGAGGCTGACATGCAAGCAGAGGATGAAACTCTCCCGTCTATGGGCACCTACGACCGCTTTGACCCTTACAATCAGTACGAGCGCTACACCCAGATGGCTGATCTGAGCCAGATCCGCGAGGAGAGGGCAGAGAAGCCCTGGTGGTGGAACTACTTTGTCCTGCCGGGTGGACCTGCACCAACCTGGCTGCTCAGACACTATTAGAGCTTTCACTACTGCAGCATACACACAAACCGAGTTATCATGTAATAAATGTGCTGCTGTTTGTTGGTGTTACACCGCAGGAAAGTGTCAAAGCTAGCTGGCTGGCCTTCATGTTAGCTTTCACATTTTAACCTACAAGTGCTCTGTTTGGTCCCAAATCCAAACTTGAAACTGTAACGTAAGCACCTTAAGCTTTTGCCTTGACAATAACAAAACTTCTATTAATGACAATAATAAATGAAAGATTAAGACTTTTATAACAGTTTTACAGCAGAAATAAAGAGCTTTTATACAGTCACAGTTTGAGTCCTTACAGCTGCACCTAACCACACTTTTATTTATATCTCTTGGCAAACAAGAAGTGGATCAAAACAACATTTAAAAAACACTTTTAAAAGGGAAATAATTTTTTTTGAATGCTCACATCATTTCTCCTACTTGTAATTTGGTTCAGTTATTAGATTTTCAGGAGGTAATAAAACCAGATGGCCACCAGGGGGCAGGCTGAATCAACTTCTTCAGATAGAAATATTGCTGTGCAGGTGTGTCTTTAGCATTATGCTGAGTCAGGACTAAAAGGCTGTCCCGATTTCCTCTTTTTGTCTTTCCAGTTGCAGCTTCAATTAATGCAGATAAACAACAAAGTCATTGACTATAAAATGAGTTTATTCCAGTGATTGTAAGCTGAAAATGATTGTGTGTACTGTAGATTACACACATTGATTCTGAATCAAATGTATTTCAACAAATAACATACAGTACAAAAGTGATATATATTTCCTAGAAACCATTTTAAGGATATAATTTAGAAAGTATTTAAAAATCTTTCGACTGCAGTCATCTGACTGGTGTTTTTACCTCATGACACCTTAAAATGAACCAGTGTCTACATTATTACATCACATATGTTTAAATAAGAAAATACTCTGATAAGTTCCACTAAAGAGTGATCGTCCCCTTTTTCCGTTTTTGAGGCTTCAAGAAGTAAAAGCATCCAGTTTTTCCACAAAAAGTAAGCAAATATTTGAAAAAATATGATTTTGTGTAACAGAAGTATGTTTTGCCTTCTTTCCTGTCTTACTAATTTTCTAGTGACTCCCACCAAGTTGGGAACTGCTGATCTAAACTATAGATCTACTAGACTGTTAAAAATGTTCTTTAAAGCAGCTACAACCTGCACTCTACATAAACCCCTTTTTGACCTGATTAATCACTGTTACGTTTGTCAGCATATAATTACATATCTACCTCCAACACACGTGAGCAGGAAGGATGTTTTGTGAACTTAAATCTAATTCCTGTTGGGGGATCTTATCTGTACCTTAAATACTTTCTGAGGTGCAAAGCTCATCTAGCATGTTTTGGCTTGTGAAAGTTCCTATAATATTTCTATAGCCCTAAAACCATTAATCCTATAGAATAAAAGACAAGGAAGGAAGGAAATAAATGAACATGGATATAATGTATGACTGGAAAGAAGAAAGAGTTTATTAAAAAGGGGAGGTGGCTAGGCTAGAGGTACTGTTTGAACAAAACATAGAAGAGGCAAAGAAACACCACAACAAGACATATTCACCTTAACAAAGCACCAAAGAGACACAAGATCACAACAATGAAAAGTAGAACAAAATGGCGTAAAGTGAACAAGAGCCCCAGGGTCCAGTGAAGTCCCAAATCTTATAAACAAAACAGCTCTTAAGCATTTTTATGTAAGGTCATGAAAGAAGCATGGGAAAAGCAAATTACACCCACATAAAGGTCGAGGAATACTATTAGAGAATTGTAGAGAAAAGTCTGCTTAGTGAACTATTTGACCCATGACAAGTCAGTGAAAAAAAAAAAAAAAAAAAAAACAGGCTTCTCAGGGGATTTACAAAACACAAACACATGATTTGGCACCAAACTCGGTCAGCCAAACAGCGGAGGAGAGGCCTCCATCTATACAGCAGGAAAACACTGTACATTGTCCCAGGAACATGTAACCTTCTGTGGAGAGCTTTCAGGAGACTGACAGATGGCACCAACAATTTCTTTTTCCATGACATACAGGTATGTTTCAAATACTGGAATTCATTGTGGCATAGTGATACCTGGAAATTGGTGTTATCATAGCGGGGGGGGGGATCTCCCTGATAGTATTCATTGTATTGTAACGGAGTAATCAGAGAAGACTCATGTTGTCAACTGTTGTATGTTGTGTGTCCTGTCTTGATATTAAGATGAGCTGATGCTAACATTTAAGAATCAGTTCAATAGTCAACATTGTCCACTTTATCAATCAGGTCAAAGCAGATCTAAAGCTCAGGTGTAACTAGCAGGAATGGTGGGAGGCCCTTAAAAGATACAGTGAATGGGTCTTCCTCAAATCTGCTTTACGCATATTAACACCACTAATCAGAAGATTGGTGGTTTGATCCCCGGCTCCTCCCTCTGCATGTCAGAGTGTCTTTGAACGAAATACTAAACCCCAAATTGTGCCCAGTGTTGGGTGAAGCCAAGTGCAGTCCATTTACCATGATACAGAGTTTAAAGACTACATTAGCCATGTATTTATTGGTCTGTCAATTACTCCGGTCGTGTCGAGGCCACGCTGCCTGAAGTCCTTTGCAGGTCTGTGATGTATTTTCCGCTGAGAGGGAGGGAACTAGCAGGACTGAAGGGTGCAGTTACTCTTTAATTACATTACATGAGAGGAACAAACTGGGTTTACTCATAATTTAAAAGCTATTACCATTTTCCTCTGTCTAAAAAATGCTCTTAGGAATCAAATGAATATATAATGAGCTGTCTAATGCTGTGAGCATCCATCTGGCATCAAGATAAGATCTTCAAGTCAAGTGCACGTCTCAAGATATCTGTCCACTAATTATATTAGTCACTGTATGTAGGCTTTGAAATTGTGAGATTTTATGAGAAACCTTTAGTTATTTTAGTGAGTTACAGAAACCCTGAGACTAAAAAAAAAATCTGGTGATCCATATTCTTAGTCTGATATAAATTAGTTTCTCTTGTGTGTTTATGACTTAAGAACAGGTTAAAAAAAGCTTTTTTGTGTTTGTTGTTGTAATACTCAGTTTGGCCACAAGAGGCTAAAGTACACTTCTACACCACATTTTAAATGAGCATTCATGTTTTCTTTCAGGTGAGTTTTAATTTCTCCTAGTGACATTCCTAACCAAAAGACAGACATGAAAGTGATGTTAACTAACACACAATTACCTTGTGGAGCACATGGAGAAATTAAAGCTGCAGTTATTTTTATAAACTTTTAATTACCTGTAACTTCATATTTGCTGAAACGTCTATGTGCTAAATCCAGAAGTACAAGAGACAGATCTGGGAATGAGAATCAACAGTCAACTAGCTTCAAGCCACAAAGTGTCTGTATTTAATGTGTCTCAAAAATCAACTATCTTTCTCTGCTCTGATTAGTCGTTTTTGTTCAGGTGGGCGCGTTAGATCCTTGCAAATGACATTAGGAGCACTAAGAGGAGCCAGAGGAAGCTAATCAATCACAGATTATCTGTTTTGTGTACTACTGTTAGGATATAGGGAAAGTTTCAGCATATATGTTATTTAATAAGTTATTTTTATAAAAGTTAACTACTGCAGTTTTAAGTCCTAAACACAGGAAAGAAAACTATTTAGATCAGACTTGGATCACCATATTTTCTCTCTCTTGCCTCCTACGGCTTCTGTACTAAGTGTATCTGACAGTTAGCTCAGAAAAGGTTGCCCCATTGCTCCACAAATTAAACTATTGTAGGAATGTTGGAACTTGACGTTAATGCCACCACAATCCCTCCCAACGAATGTACAGAATGATGGGCCTGAAGTCTAAACCAAACCAAACACATGTGTCGAATAGGGCCAGCGCCTCTCTCTGTAAGTTTGAAGGAGCGACTGGTTTTCCTTGTCACATGCTCTTTAGTGAACATACAACAATCCCACGTAGGATTGACCCTGTTTGCTTTTTCTGGGACCAGTTCCCCGAGCCACCCATGTCAGGTGGGGTGCTGGGTTCACCAATTACTTGGTGAGGCTGAGAAAGTAGCATAGAGCTGCCCCAAGCTGCCATGTTGTATTAGCATCATGCTGCTGGCAAGTAGGTAAGTAACGCCTCATTTCAGTTCAGTGAAGCTGCTCTCTGTTCTCAAAGAAGCTTTAATACGCTTATGTCCCTACTCAAGATCAGTTTGTAACTATGACTATTTATGAACGCTCAGTCCACCATGTGAATATAGTTCCACCAGGTGCCGGTAGCACAGCAGGGGGTTACTATTATTTCTTGTTTAAAACTCTCATTAACTGATTTTAGTATGCAAATTTAAGATTTGGATTTAAATGTATGAAGCTGTCAGGTTTTAATACTTTTCATTATTTACAATATTTGCAAACAACATTAAAGTTCAGATTTTGAATCAGAGTGCAGTAATTTAGCATAATTTGATTAAAGCAAGCAAGCAAACGTTATGGAAGAATAAGAGAGGGAGGGAGAGAGAGGACAATATAGTATATAAAAGACAATAACAAGTTATAAAATCAAGAAAAAGCCAAAGAAAACAAATGGGCTTTAAGTTGTTATTTTAATATATAATTGAGAATTACTTTCAATTAACATCACACATTCACATGCTTTACTATTAATGGACATTATGCTGATTGTTCTGTACTGTAGCTTAGGGGTTAAAACTCTTCCTTCATAAATTAAAAATAATCTAAAATGGTAATTCAGACGCCTAATGTGTCACTTCTGCCCCACTTACTCCCTACATCAGAAACAAATGAATGTTAATATTAAAGGAATTTCATTATTGCATTCATTATTTTTATTTATATATTTATTATGCATTAATACATGCTATGGTCAGTCAGGACCCCTCTTAGGGGTCACAAGATAAATCTGAGGGGTTGTGAACTGATTAGTGGGACAGAAAAGAAGAAAAATAATATTCTAGCTCTCAAACAATAATAAAGAAATCAGGCAAAAGATGTACACAGTGATACACAGTAAATTAACATCAGTGTTTTGAGCTAACAGAGATATTTGTCAGGCATTTTGGAAGCGGTAAAGTTTTTTCAAATTCTGATTTGTTCTGCTGTCAGGTCAAAGTCACACCTTGTTTGTTCCTTTACCCACGAGAACAAATGTCCTGCAACAGGTAGTCCAGGACACTACTAATGCTGTCACTGATTGATGAACAGCAGCAAGTCATTCATTCTTTTTCTTTTAAGCCTGTAACAAACAAAGTAGTTCCAACAAAGTCACAAGAATGAGTCTGGTTTGAGTAACAATGA